TATATATATAGTGGAGAATGTTCTGTTGGCTCAAGAATTAGTGATGGATCTGGATAAGCATTGCAGAGGTGGGAACCAAATATTTAAATTGGACTTTAGAAAGGCTTATGATACCATTAACTAGGAGTTCATTGAGGAAGTGCTATATGCTAAGGGATTTACTCATCAATTTATCTTGCTGATACAGAGATGGCTAAGAAACAACTTTCAATCAGTGTTCATAAATGGTAAATCTCATGGTTTCTTCACTTCATCTATAGGAATCAAGCAAGGTGACCCCTTAACTCCTACTATATTCATTATTGTTTTTTATTACCTCTCGCCCAAATCCTTCATATCACATCAAAAATACCACCACTTATTCAAAATATAATTTTGTGTGATTTAATAATTAGAAGTATTTTAGCAGCTTTTGTCAAATTTCATTAAAAAAAGTTTTTTGGTAGCTTTGAGCAGCATGCCATTCTAAAACGTTGAATGTATTTTGGGATGGGAGCAGTACATGAATAATAATTCATTTTTAATATTATGTACATTTCAAAACAAACATGGGATTTTACATATCACTTAATTCTTATGTATTCACATGTCTAACGTGTAAACTTAAATTTTTAAAATAGTGACACTTTTGATGTGTCATGAAAGATTTGACTGGTATGAATGTAAAAACCAAAATTTATGTGTTAGATATGTAAATACATAGGAATTGAGTGTTATGCATAAAAATGCAACTACAGACAATTTCATTGTAAGCTCAATCCAAATAATAAAAAAAATAAGAAAAGTGTCGAGTGGTCATGTGAATCTTTAAGGAGTTATTTTAATCCTAGAGTCTATAAAAGTGTCAATTAATTTCTGGATTCTTTTAATGAGAGCTAAAATAGTCATTTCATACGACTATTTCTACTAGGACTACAACGACCCCATGTAAATAGCTAAAGAACACTTGTGGCACTTTTGTCATAACAACATTCTTTAGTGTTCAATTTAGAGAGAGATAGAGGAAGAGATAGAGAGAGGGAGAGGGAGAGGGAGAGGAAGAGAGAGAGGTACCAATGCACATGGAAATAATTCCAAATCGGCAGTCATTGCCCCTGCGTTTCATTTCATTTAATAAGGTACTAACACAGCGTGCACCTGTGAAGCATCAGATACAGCCATTTCAGGGTTGCAGAATAATTATGATATAAGAGCATATAGGTTACTAAGAAAAAAAATCAAATTCTAAAGCTAAGGAAAATTTTATACAGATTAAAACCTCACAACAATACAGATCTACCTAAATAGGTAGAATATGAAAAAGAGAACCTGATAGAGCTAATCAAGTGAAAATTTCTCCAAAAGAATGTTGCATTTTCAACCTTTCATTGAGAACAGAGAAATTTCAAGGTCAACCATTAATAAAAACTAGTAATTTCAATCTTTCATTGAAAACAGAGAAATTTCAAGGTTAATCATTAAATAATAGCTAGTAATTTTTATTAATATAAAAAAGTTCATATGATGGCAGAAATTATTAGTAATTTAGATATAAAACTATGCTAAACATTAAATAAGGTTTCACCTAATAGAATCTTAATAAATCAGAAAAGGAGAAATGTGCATGTTTTAAAGGAAATGAAATAATATGCTGTTCTATGTGATAATTAGAAGTTTTTAACTGAAATGAAGGAGAGAACAATAATATGAATGCACTACTTAATTCTAAATTATAGTGGCACCTTCTATTATTCGAAACCAATTGCATAGATAGTTATTAATATCTGTCTAATTTAATTGTCATATTTTATCCTGATTCATTTATTTTTTTATAATATTAGTCATATCAACATGAATGTTACAAATTTTTTAAAACGTTTAAATTTATGCATTATTTATATAAGTTATATCTATATCTGTATATATATATATATACTATATTAATCTAATAGTAAATTAGTAAATCTAATTTTAGAATTTATTTAGTAAATGATCCAAAATGAATAGGTGTGGAAGCTATAATTGTAAACCACGATCGAATCTATGGAAGCATTGGTTTATACATTTCTTTTAGTTTCGACTTTAGGGATAATTTTTTTCGCTATCTTTTTTCGAGAACCACCTAAAGTTCCAACTAAAAAAACAAAATGATTTTTCATTATTTCCATTGAAGTAATGAGCCCCAATATGAATATCGGGGCTCATTACTTCAATTAGTCCCCATGTTCTTCGAAGGGATCTCTTAATTTTTGAGAGGGTTGCCCAAAAGCGGTATATAAGGCATACCCAGTAAAGCTTACAAGTAAACCGGATATGGAGATGGCGACTAGGGTTGCTGTTTCCATTTTTTCGATAATTTCAAGATCACGATAATGTCGTTTATTTACAACTACAACGGAATAGTATACAAAGTCAACAGATTTCAACCCATGATGAAAGAGGATTTATGGCTACAAAAACCATTGAGAGTAGTTCTAGATCTGGGCCAAGACGAACTGGCGTAGGGAGTTTATTGAAACCATTGAATTCGGAATATGGAAAAGTAGCTCCAGGGTGGGGGACTACACCACTTATGGGAGTTGCAATGGCTCTATTTGCAATATTTCTATCTATTATTTTAGAAATTTATAATTCATCTGTTTTACTGGATGGAATTTCAATTAATTAGGTTCATAAAAATTAGGAAATCCTAGTTTTTCAATCAAAAAAGATTATTTTACTTATACTTACTTAATGCTTAAAATATTAAAATACTTAATAAAATACTTAAGAATTTAACTTAAGATTACTTAAGACTTGGATTTATAGACCATTCTGGTAGTTCGATCGTGAAATTTATTTGTTTCGATATTTCATTTCCGGAATATGAGCGTGTGACTTGTTATAATTGATCCTATTGATAATACAAAGAATGGATTTGTCATCTCTATCAAGATGATTCTACCGTCAGATATTTATTGTAGTCTCTGGAGCACGGACTATATAGAATAGATCAAGAAAAGAAATATTTGAACTATGATTCATACCTATTATTCAGACCTCGCAACCGGATTAAAAAAAATGGAAAAAAGGTATTTTCTTTTTCTAAATCAAACAATTTTTTCTCCGAAAGAAACCTCTTTCTATAGATTTTGTTGAGTTATTACATTCATTGAAGAAATGATGATCAAATGGTTTTTACTCAGAAACCCTTTGAGTTTAGCTTTGGTTTTCTTAAATCATCGTGGTTCTAGTATGAATCTGAGGTTTCAATTGATTCATAGGGTCTCAACAAGAGAATTCCTATCAAAAAAAAGATAGGGAAGAGAAGATTCAAGAGGCCTGTCACGATTAACATAAAAAAAGATGGATGAGCCAACTTGAGATTTTATTTCTTGGTACTATCATCACAAAGAAGAGATTCCGGATTTTTCTTACTTCGTATCTTTGGGTCAAATCGAGTCAAGCGGCTAAACCACAAGAAGTTTGAAACTCTATATAAAATATTCCATATCCGTTGAAACTAGTATTTGTGGGTTTTGGCTTGAGCCGTACGAGATGAAATTCTCATATACGGCTCTCAGAGGGGGAGTCTTTCTTGGATTACCTATCTCAATAAAGTATATGATTGGATAAACTAAAATATGAAGACACCTATGTGGAAGCTGTTACCATTGCTACTAACTGCTTCAGTTACTTGCAGAAATTGTATTGTCATAGGAAGCTTTCTAAAATCCTTTACAGCACTTCCAACAGTCTACCCAAAAAAATTAAGTATGCACTTATTCATTGGGATTCTCCCCATAAGGGTGGAATTAAAGTTAATACTGATGGAAGTTTTTCTACTCCTTATGCTGGAATAGGAGGGGTGTTCATAAGTGACAAAGGGAAGTGTTTACTCAATTTCCATTCTCCGGTAAGAGCTATGGATCCCCTGGAGGCTGAAACTCAGACTATGGCTGAAACTCAGACTATATTCTGGGCTATGTTTATGGCCCAGAAGTGTAGTTTCCCCTCCTTAATTATAGAATCAGATTCCATGGTCCTAATTGATATCATTGAAGGGAAGACACCTACTCCATGGTACCTGCCGCAATGGATCAGAAGTATTCACTCCTTAAGTGAGGGTATTAGCACCTCCTTCTCCCATATATTGAGAGAAGGAAATAGACCTGCCCACTGGCTAGCAAATGTTGGCCTACACTCTGAGCTCCCTTGGGTAGGCACTTCTCCCACCCCCCATTTTGAATTATTGCTAAGAGGAGACCTTGTGGCTCTACCTTTCATTAGAGTTTTTTTTTATTAAACTTTGGGAAGGGACCCCTGTTCTCCCTTCTCTTGTACTCTCTTTTTTCTGATTAATGAATTAGGAGCCTCTGTCTCCTTTTAAAAAATATATATATATATAAATATATATATATATATATATACATAGTACGGTCAGGGGTTTGAATCTCATGACGCGGAATCTTCGGATCAATCAAAAGACACTTGGGTTTTGACCTAAAGGGGAGAAGCGGTATTTGGGGCCCACCGGACCAAATACGGATTCCCTTTGTATTATTTAATATATATATATATATATATTAATTTGATACAAACTATATAAAATGATTTTATTATAAGTTGACCAATATAATTCATCTCCTTATGATAGTAGCTAGGGACGTTAAGTTACCCTCACACATAAATAAAAAAAAGGGATAATAATATTGATGTACCTTAACAACTATAACTTAAATATTATTTGTATGAAGGATGTAATATGATATACGATAAGATGTTGTACAACACAACAAATTAATGTAAAAGTTCTTGAATGATTATATTTGATTCTATAAACTATTAAATGAACTTTCAACGATTCAGTAAATTTGACTAACATGAATCTTGTTCTTTTCTTTTTGTTATGTTATTTTAATTCTAATAATATGAGTATGCATTGAGTTGTTGATAGCTCATTATGATATTAAAATAACAGATTTAGGTTTATAATTTGGCCTAAAAATGAGCGGTAAAAGAGAAAATGCTTATAGAGGATGTGGTCAAGCTTGAGAAATGTAATTATATTCATATATAGTTTATTTTCAAGTTGAATAAAATTTTGTATTGTTAATGTTTCTTTTGATTGTTTGGATGATAAAGTATTAGTGATAGAAAATATAATGAAATTTAAATTTTACCATCCAATCGAATATTCCGCCTTAAAAATTTTAAACAACCAGGTAAGGTCATGACAAATACATTATAAAAATGTTGTGCTCAATCGAACCAAGTCATTATTCCTTATTGATTCTAATAAATTCATGTTCTCAAATGCCACAACAAAATTATTTTAAATGAATTGATTTATAAATCTCTTATGCCCTTATATTAATTAAATGTTCAATGATCAATATACTTATTGCTTCTTCAGCTAATATGATTGATGTTACCTAATTTTTGAATTTCGATAGACCCACTAAATTAGAAATTAACTTGTTACTTAACCCCACAAGATCATTGTTTTTAAAATAAGCCTTCCATGGAGTTGATGATCCATGATCATTGGTTTTAAAATAAGCCTTCCATGGAGTTGATGATCCATAAGAAGGTCTTGCACATAACAAACATGACGCATCTTTTGTTAGGTATATGCATGCACAACTTTTTTTTTTTTTTCGATGTATTTTCATTTTACTATAATAATGTTGAAATGGTAGCATCCTAATATATTTTAGATGATGTTGTGTTGTGGACATTTGAAAATGCATCTAGATGTTTCTTAAATCATAGTATTGCATCTTGTGAATATTATGACGAGGAGATAAATAACGTGGTTCTTTTATGATTTGGATACACTTTTAATGATTATAAACTATTATAACTATTATGAGTTAAATCCCAAAGTGATCTCTCTAATATTTATATCTTACTAGTTTGGCCATGGAATATTATAATTCTCATATATAATTCCTCAAATATACAAAATTGATCAGATCAATTTTAAATAAAAAAAAAGAAAACATAAAGATAGCTGCCATTAACAACCCCAATTTACTATTCTATACTATGAATTGTTTTAATACCTTTAGACAAGAAGATGGATCGATGAAGTTAAGTAATGATAACTGCCATTAATACCACATCGAAATTTTCGGTGCAAGGAAAAAAGATAGATAGAAATAAAGTTTTGCATATTAATTTGTCTTATTGTGATATCAGGATGATTGAATATGGAGTCTAAAAATACCCGTTGCACCCAATGGATGGCCAAGAGCAATAGCGCCGCCATTAACATTGACTTTTTCTGGATCAAGCCCCAACTCTTTGATGCAGTATACAAACTGCGACGCAAAAGCCTGTTGCAGCACAGACAAGCATGTCAATTCTGGGCAGAAAATATGTGCATGAGAACCAACATTATTTTTAGGAGTAAAATTAATGGCATTTACATACATAACATCCCATTCTAATGCAGTTGCATGTCTAGCACCGAAATTTTGCTTTTACATTTATGCCACCCAAATATTTCATGTCACATAAAAAATGTCAGTATTTTTACTTCTAAAAGGTGAAATACAACTTTTCATGCATAAGTTAGGAGAATGCATATGTAAAAATTGAAGTTGAGGTGTTAGATAAGTAAAAAAACTAGGAATTTAGTGGTGTGTAACCTTCCTTAAAATTATTACCTCATTTATTTCATATAAGTCAATATCTTTAATCTGAAGACCAGCTGCTTTTACTGCTGCTGGTATTGCAACAGCAGGACCAATGCCCATCACAGCAGGATCAACGCCAACTGCAGCAAAGCTCCTGCATGTAGAACGGTTAAAAATTTTATGATGATGAAAGGCTCTTTTAGAGCAAAATAGAACTAAAAATCAAATCGCTTAAAAGTTATTTTGAGGATTTATAAAAATAAGTTGATTTATTTTTTTATAATAAAAATAAAAATGTCTAAGAAAAAAACTAAACAAATATTATTATAAAAATAGAAGCGAAAATAAAAATAAATAAAAACAGAAACTAAAATTAACCTCAAACAGACCCAAGACAACCCACAAAGATATTAGAACCCCTTGCCCTAACCTTTCTCTTGGAAGACGCGGTCCTTTCTTTTTGGGAGTAAGCAGCAAGAAATTAGTTGAATTTTGTTAAGAGAACTAAACCGCAGAAACCATATAAAGAAGCAATAATAATTATATATTAGCACCAGCTTCCACCAAAAACAGCAATAAAAAAAAGGCATTTACATACACACCACCCAATTCCAATGTATTAACATGTCTAACACCTAAACTTTGATTTTTACATTTACATCACCCAAATCTTTCGTATCACATAAAAAAAACCATTATTTTAACTTATAAAATGAAATACACCTTTTTCATGCATAAGGTGGCTTACATGTAAAAATTGAAGTTTGGGTATTAGATATGTAAATACATGAGAATTTAGTGGCATGCCTGTAAATCTTCATAGAGAAAAAACATCATGCTATGGCTTTTCAGCTGGACATAAATGATTGAATCCATTTTAAAGTAAAGACCGAACCTGAAAATTCCAAGAATGGGAAGCCCTTTTCGTATTGCGACATCCCTCCTCATGAGTAGGACCGCCCCAGCACCATCACTAACTTGACTAGCATTGCCTGCAAAATATAATATGCTGAGCTGACACTACAATGAAAGAAGTAGATAATCAAATTTATTGAAAAAAAAAAAAAATACAAGTCTCCAGCACCTGCCGTAGTGCTTCCACCCTCCTTAAATGCTGGTTTGAGTTTTGCAAGACCTGACAAGGATGTATCGGGGCGAACTCCCTCATCCACAGAGACCGTAATCTCCTTTTCAGTTCCACTTTTTGGATCCGTGATCTTCACAAGAATAATAAGATAATTACGTATTTAAAATAAAGAAATGAATAAATAAATTCATAAATACTTATGTATATGTATGTATGTATGTATGTATGTATAATTTTTGAAATGACGAGAATGGTTCTCCCCAGTACATAGTTTTTTTTATTACATGCATTAAGTATCAAGGTATTCAACTTTGACAGTGAGTAATTAAAAATTGAGACCATGACAATATAGAGGGCGTTGGTAGTCTGTTAAGCTTTGCCATGATAAATGGTTTCACAATTATTTTTACATTCCTGACAATCACATAAACACATTTTAGTAAATGATAATACAAAAAACACAAAAAAACCTAGCATCATGTTTGATTTCAGAGCGACATAATAAACTATTTAAACATTTATGTGGTTAGAGGAACTTTTTGTTGAAATAGTGTACAGGAATCCCTGACATTGAGGGATGACAATGTGGGATGGCCGGCCATGTGTTGAACGTTTAGTCGGACATGTATTTTTATTTATTTATTTTTTTTTTTTGCCTTCTTTTTGAAGAATAACCAGCTTGAAATTTATTAGCTGCATGGCTTGCGGATTATTGTTTATTTTTTTAGGAAATTTACATTCATACCTCACAATTCTTATGCATTCGCATATCTAACATCTAAAGTTTAATATTTATATTTATAAGACCCTGGTATTTCACTTTTAACAAGTTAGAAATATTAGTATTTTGATGTGAAGTCAAAGATTAGAGTGTTAGGTATGTAAACATGAAAGTTTAGGTGCTATATGTGTAAATATATAAGAATTGTGTGTTATCTTTGTAAATGCCTCCCTTTTTTTCTTATAATCTCTTTATACTCGCCAATGTGAGAACCAGTAACATTGAAATAAGAAAAACCAATAATACAAAGACAAATCCATGACTTAGAAAAATGTTCACCTTTGTTGTCACGGGTACTATTTCTGCCTTGAATTTACCAGAAGCAATTGCAGCAGCCGCACGCTTATGAGATATCACCTGGTGAATGTTCAGTAGCGTCATAATACAATAAGGTGTAAATGCAATCATCTAGAAACAAAAGAAAAAAAAGTCAAAATGGTCCACGATTCTTCGCACTCCCTACATTTATGAAAGTGGCTTATCCGTCCCCAGTTTCTTTTAAAATGGATTGAAATACTCCCTTGTGAGAGCTATTTTGGCCCCATTAAAATAGTACAAGGGCCTATTTTAATTGCAGAGTTCATAAAAGTTTCAATTTAGTCAGATTCTTTTAATATTGGGTTGAAATAGTCCCTATTGAGGACTATTTTGGCCTCCATTAAAATAGTATGAGAACTAATTTAGCACTTTTACAAGCTCTGGGACTAAATGACCCAATGTAAATAGTCAAGTGACTATTTTGGCACTCTAGTCAAAAACAAAAATATCATTGCAAGCATGCTTATGTATCTTTCATTTTCTATTTTTCAAAATCTGTGAGAACAGCACATGCATGGTACTCACAGCAGCTTGGTCTTGTTCCTCCTTTGTTATTCCATACCGTTCTGCAACATTTTCAGATGTAATTCCCATGGGTAGATAACAATCTTGGACTTGTTGAAGAGATTTGGCCTTGAGATTGAACAAATGCATTATAAACAAGTGTTAATCCTGAGCAATCTATACATTCAGTTAGAACAAAACAAGAGGAAATTATAGGGAACCTTTGGATTAGGTGGCCCCTCCCATCCAACTTTGTTCGAACTCATAGACTCCAAACCAGCACCAATACCTTTTAAAGAAAGGACAAGAAAAAAGAATCAACATAAATTCTGAAGCTCTATAAGATATGAACAATAAACTATGCGGCACGGATAAATGACAACACGGGCACGTGATGATTTTATTTTTAAAATATAGGACACGAATCGCATCTATTATAATATAAAGGGACATTTATACACATACCTCCCAATTCTTATGTAATTACATATACAACACCAAAACATTGTTTTTTGACATTTATATAATCCAAATCATTCATATCACATCAAAAATATCACTATTTTAACTTTGAAAAAATACTAAATGCACGTTTTATAGGTAAGGTAGCAAAATACCAAATTAAAAATTTAGGTTTTATATATGTAAATACATAAGAATTGAGTGGTATTTATGTAAATAATCCTAATATAAAATATAAAAAATAGATGAAAATTAAATAAAAAAGACTTTATGAACGATAAAAAAAGAGATATTAAGAAATTTAGAAACATTAATTTTTAAGACCTACGGAGATTAGAAAGTAGTATTTAGTTTACAAAATGAAAATATAAACACTAAATATCTTATATTACAATAAGATATGTTTAACTTTAAAAAAATAAAATAAAATAATTTCCTTAAAATTTTAATTTTAAAAGCATATATATGTTTAAAAATATTTTTAGAAAATTTTAATTCATAGGACATGCACATTGGACATTTATGTCCATTTCTCTTAGATTTTATTTAAATCGACACTTCTATGACATGTTTGATAAGCCAGAGCTGTGTCGAAGAAGTGTGAATGTCCAACATTACATAGACACTTACACTATACCACTCAATTAGAATTATCCGCACAACATAGATAATAAATCACATCAGAAAACTATTTTACCAATGCCATAGTATCCTGCTTTGATAGCGGCAGCAACATCTGCAACAGCCTGAAGACCAGATGAGCATTGTCGGTTCACAGTTCTAAGAGGAACAGTCTCTGGTTTATTTGAGGGGAAATGCAATATAAGCTAAAATTTAAATGAGAAAGAAAAACACATTAAATGTTCAAGAAAATAAAATTACGGAAAAATACCTGGGAAACCAGCATAAAAGGCTGCCATCCTGCATTCAATAGCTCTTTGAGAACCAGGAGCCAGGACAGTTCCAACAACTATATCACCAACTTCATTTGGGTTCAGTTTCGTCTTCTCCAACAACTCCTAATTAAGACCAGAAAGGAAATAGTGAAACTTAGAAAGTGTTCTCAAATACATTGATATCTGGCCTTTGATGCAATTTTAACATTTATTCTGACGTAATATTTTTGAAAAAAAAACCTTCAGAAGAGGCGCTAGAAGGTCCTCTGCGTGTGTATCCTTGAAACCTCCTCTACTGGCCTTGCAAATTGCAGTTCGGCAAGCACTGCATGCAAAACGACAGATGTTGGGTCATAGAAAAAATGGTTATAGATGAAGCACATAGAAGTATTTTAAAAAAGAAATGCTTTGACAAATTTTAAAAGAATCCAAGACGGCATGGAAAGTTTGTTGATCTTATAATTTTCCAGATTTAGCAGTTCTGAACAAAAGTGTGATTGAAAACTCTAAATAGACATAAAGTCCGGGTGTATTCCGTAGGCCGTGCAATCAAGATCACCTCCTCATAACTTCAAATCTAAAGTCAATATTTTCTGCAATTAATGATTTCCTGCATTTCTTGTTAAATTTTAATTTATGGCTCACATTTATTTTTGATAACTTATGAGATTTATTTTGATAACTTAAGTTATTTAGTTTCTTAACTCATAACTTATGTCATAACTTATGATAACTTATGATATTTATTATTATAACTCTTACGTTATTTATTTTCTTAATTCAAAACTTATGATAACTTATGATATTTATTTTTGTAACTATGATAACTTACGTTATTTATTTTCTTAATTCATAACTTATGATAACTTATGATATTTATTTTTGTATTTATTTTTGTACATCGTTATTAATTAAGTTATTAATTATCTTAACTCATACTCATAATTTATGTCATAACTTATGATAACTTATGATATTAAATTTGTAACTTATGTAATCCCTAAAATAAATAGGTGTTATTAACTTATGTCGTTGATTTTAATACTAAAAAATAAATTAATTTATGAAATTATCATAAATCCAATTAGTTATAATCCCACTGATGGATGGTGGTTAAATAGAACATAATTTAGAGAATGGGTCTTCTCTCTTCCTAACACATCCCGCACATTTACCTCCATCAGAAAGTACATAAAAATTTCAAGGGATTAGAGAGAGAAACTCTATCTCTTCAAGATCAAATTTTATCATCATGAATACAGACATGCGTTACTTTATTATAGATATGTAAAGATCATGAATTTAAAAGAGCTTGGCTATTGTGTATTTTTTAGAATTTGTGTCATAAATATTAAACATGAATTTTTAACATGTGGTATCAGAGTCTTGATTACGAAATTTATAATTTTTTATATAATTTTAGTATGTTAATTGTATTAAATTTCGGCTGTGAATTAGATCTTGAATTAGATCACTAATACTAAAGTAAATTGATGTGATTGAAATTATTATTTATTTGATGTCTATGTTATATTTAATTTGTTAGTCACCAAAGTGACCAAATTAATAAGTTTAAGAGACATCAAATTAAATAAATTCAATTACTCACGAGTATGTGTACGAGTATGTGATTCATGTTATGAAATAATTTTACATTTCATTACAAAAATATTAAAGTTCATTGATTATAAAATATTTTTAGATCGTTCAAAAGTTCATCATTTGTTTTATAATCTTGAAATATAATTGTAGTCTATCTGTATACTTAGTTAAGATATATTTATATATCTAAAAATAATAGACATATTTAATTTTAGTATAAACAATTACTAATTATATCAAATTTAAGTCAAACATCAATTATGATTATTATTGTGTATTGTTATATCACCCAAAGAAGATTTCAATACAATATTATTACTATGAGTATTATTTTAATTTGATTTTATATGAATATCTATGTAAGTTTAATGTTTGAAGTATTAATGTACAAGTATGTTTTATTTTTTTGCAATAACTACTTCTGTTTCTCTTCATTCGCAAGCTACATTTGTTCAAATTTTCAATAAGCCTAATTTATTAGAATGGTGTGAGCAAGTCCAGTTTCACCTTGGTGTTCTAGATCTTGATTTGTCACTCACGACTCAGAAACCCACTGCTCTTACTTATTATAGCAGTACTGAGCATATATCTTTCAATAAAGCTTGATAAAAATTGAACAGATTAAACTTAATGTTTATGCGAATGACTGTAGCAAACAACATAAAGTGTATATTTTCTAGCACTTAAAGTCTTAAGGAATTTATGAAATTTGCTGAGAATTGTTCTCAGTCTGACTCTGCAAATAAATCTCTTGCTGGAATACTATTGAGTATGTTAATCGACATGAAATTTGATGGTTCTCGTACTATGTATGAGCATGTTTGAAATGATGAACAAAACAGTAAGATTTAAGACACTAGGAATGGAAGTGAATAAAAATTTCCTTGTGCAATTTATCATTAACTTCTTATCTCCTGAGTATGATCCATTTTACATAAACTACAACACTATGAAAGATAAGTGGAATGTGAATGAACTACAATGTATGCTCATTCAAGAGAAAACAATGTTTAAGAAAGAAATAAATCACTTCATTAATCTTAAGGGTCACCAAAGAAGAGCTGTAAAGAAACCTGGAAAGAAGAATAAAAAAGGGCAAGCAAAGGCCACTAAGGATTAATGTGTCGTCTGCCCGAATTCACAAAAAAGAACATAAAGGAATTAAGTGTCACTTTTGAAGAAAGTCTGGATACTATCAAAATGACTGTTAAAAGCGCAAAACTTGATTTGCTGTAAAGAAACCTCGAAAGAAGAATAAAAAAGGGCAAGCAAAGGCCACTAAGGATTAATGTGTCGTCTGCCCGAATTCACAAAAAAGAACATAAAGGAATTAAGTGTCACTTTTGAAGAAAGTCTGGATACTATCAAAATGACTGTTAAAAGCGCAAAACTTGATTTTCGGAAAAAAGGTAAACCTTGTGTTTTTGTATGTTTCGAATCAAATTTGGCAGAAGTTCCTTATAATATATGATGGATTGATTCTGATTGTATCAGTCAGATTTCTAATACAATGCAGGGATTCCTTACAACCCAAATCATAAACTCAAATGAAAAGTTTGTCTTCATGGGAAACCGAGTCAAAGCGCTAGTTGAAGCTATTGAAACTTATCAGTTGATTTTAGATACTGGACATCATTTAGACCTTTTTCAAACACTTTATGTCCCATCTATTTTTCATAATTTGATTTCATTGTCTAAACTTGATTCTATTAGATATACCTTTAAATTTGGAAATAGTTGTTTCAGTTTGTTTAAACACAATCATCTTATAGGTTCTAGTATTCTTTGTGATGACCTATATAAGCTTAAATTTGATAATCTTTTCGCCAAGACTTTGATGACTTTGCATCATAATATTGGTACTAAACGTGGTTTTATAAATGAAAGTTCAGCTTATTTGTGGGATAAACATTTGGGTCGTGTATCTAAAGAAAAATTAAAAGATTAGTAAAGAATGAAATCCTTAATGAATGAGATTTTACTAATCTTGGCATCTGTGTCAATTGTATTAAAGGAAAAAATATAAATCACACACTTAAAAAAGCTGCCACAAGAAGCACGGCTCCTTGAAATTATACACACTGATATTTGTGAACCTTTTGATGTTCCCTCTTTAGGTGGAGAAATATTTTATCACCTTTATTGATGATTTTTTACATTATGGGTATGTCTACTTATTGCATCGAAAATCTCAAGCTATAGATGCCTTAAAGGTGTATATAACTGAGGTTGAGAGACAATTAAACAGAAAAGTGAAAATTATCAGGTCTGATAGAGATGATGAATATTATGAAACTTACAATGAATCTGGAAAATGTCCAGGTCCATTTGCTAAATTCCTTCAAAATAGTGGCATATGTGCTCAATACATTATTTCAGGAACACCAAAACAAAATGGTGTTGCTGAAAGCTGAAATCGTACTCTAATGGAAATTGTTAGGAGTATGATGAGTGATTCTTTTTTACCCTCATCATTGTGGATGCATGTTTTAAAAATCGCTACATATTTGTTAAGCAGGATTCCTAATAAGGCAGTTCCAAAGACTTCTTTTGAACTATGGACAGGAAGGAAACCTAGTTTAAGGCACCTGCGTGTTTGGGGTTGTCCAGCGGAAATAAGGTTATATAATGGTTATATAATCCACATGAAAACCACATGAAAAGAAACTGGACTCAAGAATAACTAGTGGTTTCTTCATCGGTTATCTAGAAAAATCTAAAGGGTATAGATTTTATTGTCCTAACCACAGTACAAGAATTATTGAAGCTGGAAATGCCAAGTTCATTGAAAATGGTGAAGTTACTCGGAGTTTAAAACCACATAAAGTGGAGATCCAAGAAATTAGGATTCAATTTCCTTTACCCTAAACTTCTTCTCAAGTTGTTATTCTTACATTTGTTGAACAGTTTGACAACTTATAAGAACAACTGATATATGATCAAATACCCCACAATGAAACTGTCACTAATCTACCAACATTATGAACCACATGAAAATGTACTTAGAAAGTCTCAACGACAAAAACGGTCTGCTATTTCTGATGATTATGTGGTTTATCTACACGAAACTGAATTTGACTTACGAGTCAATGAAGATCCAGTTTCATTTTCACAAGCCTAAAAAAGTGCAAATTCTTCTTAATGGTTAGATGCAATGAAAAATGAGTTGAAATCGATGGATCACAACAAAATTTGGGATGTCATTGAATTTCCTGAAGGTTGTAAAATAGTCGGGTGTAAATGGGTCTTTAAGACTAAGCGCGACTCTAATGACAATGTTGAACGATATAAAGCCAGACTTGTTGCCAAAGGTTTCACTCAGAAATATGACATCGAATATAAAGAAATATTTTCATCGGTTTCTAAGAAAGATTCATTTAGAATTATCAAATCACTAGTAGCTCATTATGATTTGGAGTTACACCAAATGGATGTGAAAACTGTCTTTCTGAATGAGAATTTAGATGAAGAGGTCTACATGAATCAACCTGAAGGATTATTGGTTGAAAGAAAAGAACACATGGTGTGTAAACTTAAGAAATCAATATACGAACTTAAGCAAGTTTCCCGACAAATGTATCTTAAGTTCAACGATACCATCACATCTTTTGGATTTAAGGAAACACTGTTGATCGATGAATATATTTAAAGGTTAGTGGGAGCAAAATCATATTTCTCATTCTGTATGTTGATGACATCTTGCTGGCTACTAATGATCTTGTT